GCTCACATAGGGGGACAGAAGCATTTTTTGATATTTCAAAGAGAGTTGCTGTATCCCAGACCAAGCGTTGCACTAACAGTGATCCAACCCTGTACAGAAATCATGATGCAGGAGGTCTGGAACTCCAAAGGCCAACAGGTTTCAAGTTCTTTGTCACAGCCTGCAAGCACCTGTGCATGCACAGCAGACCTGGAGCTGGGCAGAGCTGCCCTTTCCATCTCAGGTGCAGCAGAAGAGCAGTGCTGAGCAGAGGCCTCTGCTGGAGCAGCAGCCTCCAGAATCACTGTTTATAAGAAACCAGCAGGTCGTTTCACAGGAGGAAATGACAAACCTCTGTACCAGTCCTCCTTTATTTACAGCTGGAAGACATTCAGTACTTTGATCTGCAAGGAGCTGTGCTTGCCATACCACCTGGGAGATAATTCAGTGGCAGCAATTACTTGGACAGGAATTTTGACAACAAGAGTCAATATTACCTCAATATATGAAGAAGGAATTCAGCATATCCATGCTGGTCTGGGGCAGAAATGTACTGTGGGAACAAACAGGCTGCTTAGCCAAAGTTAGAATTATCACAGATAATTCTATGGGTTGCAGAGGAGCACAACGCTCATCAGTCCCAACCCCCTGCTGTGTGCAGGGTCACCAACCAGCAGCCCAGGCTGCCCAGAGCCACATCCAGCCTGGCCCTGAATGCCTGCAGGGATGGGGCATCCACAGCCTCCTTGGGCAGCCTGTGAACAGTGCCTCACCACCCTCTGGGTGATTTTCTCCTGGTTCACATTGGAGGGGGGAAGTGGAAAATGGAGTGTAATGGTTGTATCAGCTTGGCTGGCTTAGAACAGGTGAACTTTTAAGGAGCAGGTCCTGAGATTTTAATTGCTCATGAGGAGGGAAGCTGAAGGCCTTGTAAACCTTCAAACAGGTTTTCCTTTTTCCCCCTGAATCATGTAAGTAATAGAAAGAGCAGCTTTGCACATGAAAAGCATAGTCTGCCTCTCTCACATGGGTATAATTCCTTAATTACCATTTGCCATCCTTCTGATATCAATAGCAAAACAAAGGTCTCTGCGAGTGTTACGTGATGATGGTTATTAATACTCACTGTTCTGAAATAACCATTGCACGTGTTTTTTGGTTAGCTTTTTTTTTTTTTCCTCCCTTGTGTGAGGCGAGAGAGAAAAATAAGAAATAAAGGAAGGGCTGAAAATAGAGTTAATAGAAAAGTTTGGGATGTGCATTGAACTAAGGAGAGGGAAACATCGATTTGCTGAGCTCCTGGAAGAGCAGAGGAGGCTCACTGGCAGAGAACAAGCTGTTTGCAGTGGCTGGCTGCAGGAAACCCATCCAGCATGGGTGCATCTCCAGTGGCTGTGTTCTGTGAGGTCCTCTAGGCTGCTCTGTTGCCTAGAAGAAGGAGCATCTGCTGTTAAACTGAATCAACTCGGTGTTTAGTACTATTATCTCTGGGTTTTGCAGCATGCAAGATTTACCATGTGTCAAGACTTGCACTGTATGTATACACACAAGGAGGAGATGGGAAGGCTCAGGGAGATGAGAATGGGGTGGATAAGCGTATAGTGCAGCACTGGTGAGGTTTTAGAGCCTTGGGTGGGTTCCCAGTGCCTTGTCTTAATTTCAACTGTGCCTAAGGATGCACGTTACAGACTGCCCAAGGAGGCTGTGGATCCCCATCCCTGCAGGCATCCAAGGCCAGGCTGGATGTGGCTCTGGGCAGCCTGGGCTGCTGGTTGGCGACCTGCACGCAGCAGGGGGTTGGAACCAGATGATCACTGTGGTCCTTTTCAACCCAGGCCATTCTATAACTGTATGAAAATGCAACCAGCTTGCCCAGGAAAAACAATATTACCTCCCCAGGCCACCCTGAGTAACGAGCACTTCTCAATGCTGTCTCGGTACTTCCGAAGGATCAGGTCAATGAGAAAAACAAAATGCTGCACACAGTACACGGAGCTCTTTGCTGACACCATAGCAATAGCTTAATGCAACAATTTAGCTGCCAGACACTCCAAAATGATACACTTTCCACCTTGATGAGGTGCCAGCATTTTTTGTTTCCCCCAACCTGCAAAGTGAGCATTACCAGCCTTTGAAAAAGCTTTCCTTGCAGAAGGCAGGCTGACAGAATGGCGTGCTGAACAGTAAAAGCCATTTTCTGTCAGTTTGGCAAGTGTCGGCCATTATCAATACCTGAAATCCAATTGCATCTTAAGTGCTTCAGAGACTGTGAGTGCATTTACAGGAACAATGCTGATCGGTAAGAAACTACAAACTGTCAGACTACAAAAGAGCAAAATGCATATTGCCAGTTTACAACAAAAATGTTTAATTCTGGATCATTTTTAGCTCCTGCTGTACACGAGATGAGTCAGGAACCAAGACCAAACAGCCTTCTGTCCACACCCTCATTTCTTATCACTTTCTCTGGTTTATAGGTTTCTTTAATAACCCTTTCCACATCCAAATACAATCCAGTCTCAAGGGTTCGTTTACATCCATAGAAGTTTTAGCTTCTCCAAACAACTTGAACACCTTCCTCTTCACGTAAACACACAGCTCTTCCTTGTGCAAGGACACCCAACACATCACCCAGCTGAGGGCTCTCCATTTGGCTTCGTGCTGTATTTTGAAGCTCTTCCTCCTACCGCAACGAGCAGCAGCCAGGTGCCAGGAAACCCAAGGCTGGGTCTGCAGGGGAAAACCGAGCTGCAGTGCGAGCCAAGGGAGGAGGGGGAAGAACAGGGTAGGAAGAGTTTGTGAAACCCTCCTGTCTGCAGCAGCGCTCGGCAGGATGCTGCCAGAGAACACTCAAAGGATTTGCCCCTCTGCACGAAAAGGGAAGCTGGCTTCTGTGGATTTGGGTGTTTATCTGCAAGACTGAACCACTACAGAAGAGTTAGTCTAAACTTACCCTACTCATAGCGCTTATTCCTCTAGCCAAGAGGCCTGGATTACCTCCAGTCCCTCCAGACATGAGGTAGAGTTAAATTAATTTTAAACTGTGGACTCCAAGAAAAAAAATAAAATGAGGTGAAAAGGAATGCTGGTTTTACCACTGAGCACTCAGGTACAGCTCACCTTTTGCTCTGCAACTGGTGCAGGTTGCTTTCCAAAGATTTGTATCAGCTGTTCTCTCTAGGTTTTGCTTCTCATTTTTCCTAAATTCACATAGCAGATCAGTCAGTGTGGACATGCAGAAAGAGCACGTTCCCAAACAGTTCTAGATTTACACAATCTGCTTCCCAAAAATGCCAGTTCAAATGATTTTCACAGAGCAGAGACTCCCAGAAGTTAACAAGCTCAGATTAATTCCAGCTCCATGTTTATATTCTAGAGCAAATCCAGACCCAATCACTCTGATTTTTTACAAGCTTTTCACCTAACTATTCCCAAAGGTCAAACTCTTGCAGCTTTGCTCTGCACAAGCACAGTATGTGCTCTGTTCCACTGGGCTATGAGGCAAACAGCCTGCAGACACGTAGACAAGCGAGATATTCAAACAGAACCAAATCGCTGCAAATATATTTAGAAAAGCATAAAATCTGCCTGTGTTTGCTCGCTTTTAGCACCAGACACTCCAGCATGGGCCTGCTCCAACCTGCTGGTTGCTCAGAGCATTATGCCCTCACAGAATCACACAAAATGGCCAGGGTTGGAAGAGGCCTCAAGGATCATGGATCCCCAACGCCACACCACATGCAGGGCCACCAACCTCCCCATTTCACAGCAGCCCAGGCTGCCCAAGGCTCCTTCCAACCTGGCCTTGAACACCTCCAGGGATGGACGGGGCATCACAGCCTCTCTGGGCAGCTGTTCCAGCACCTCACTGCTCTCTCTGTAAAGAACTTGCCCTTAGTCCACTGTTTTAAAGCACCTGTGCTTTGACACCCACAGTGTCATCTAGCACAGACTCAGATCAAGGTGCAACTTCCTGCACATTTTAAAAACAAGTGGCAGAAGGAAACGCCTATCGCTCCTCATATAAGGGCAAAACAGAGCCCAGCAGCTCTCTCCTGCTCTGCTGACCAAAGCAGCACCAGCACGCACACATTTTGCTCCAGGACACCTCTGAGCATCGCCTCCCAGCAAGAGTTAAACGGGCCGACTGGAGTTAAATATAAGCACTGATGCAAGTCGGGAGGACTCCCAGCCTCCCGCACACAACGGGCTCCAGCCCCCAGGCAAAGCCCTGCTCCCCACATCACCCAGAGCCTTATTTGCAGCAGGGACACGAGGTTTATTTCAGCAAAGCTGGGCCCGGCCTCTCCTGCCACCACCGTGCGGTCCTGCTTCCAACAGGAACGGCCCAGCGGTGGGGTTGGCATTCGGATCCTTGTTTCCCGGTTCTCCCTGTATAAGAGCTCCCCACACGTCTTTTTACGATCCCCAACTCGACGGGACGGCCCGAACCGCACAGACACACAGCGGGACGGCGGGGAAGCAGCACCGCGGGGAGGGGTTTGACAGATGTCCAACAAGCGCCTCTATCTCCGGCACGGGAGCCAGACCGAGAGCCGGGCCCGATCTGCCGGCCCAAGCCCTGAGCTCGCACAGAAGATAACGCAGGGATATCTGCGGGGAACTCCGCTCCGAGTCCCGCCGTGAGCTCGGGGGGATCCGAACAGGAGGAGCGCCCGGCTTTTTCAGCTTGACTCAGCGCTCAGCCCCGGCGCCGAGTTCACCCCATCCGCTCCTCTCCCAACACCGCCTCACTTCCTCCACCGCTCCAACGCAGCTCGCGCAGCGGGGCCGAACCCTGCGGGGCCCACCGCCGCCCCCCTCCCCCTCCCCGGCCGCCCCCTTCTGCCCGGCGGCCCTGAAGGTGTTCCAGGGGATCCCCGCGCAGCCCCGCCGCCGGCCGCCATCTCCCGGCACCCCCACGGGGGAAAAGCCGCCGTCGCGCCGCCCCTCCACCACCAGCACCACCACCACCCCCTCCTCCACGCGAGGCCCGCGGATCCCCCTCCGGCTCTACTCACCGCTTGCCGTCACACCTCGGGCGGCCGTACCCCTCAGCCGCTCGCCCCAAAGGGCCGAGGGACGGCGCGGCCCGGGGTCAGCGAGAGCGGAGCCCGCAGAGCTCGGCAGCGGCAGGGCGGCGGTCCGGCACGGCGGCGGAGGACCGCCCGCGGAGCATGCGCCGGGCTGAGCCCGCCCGGAGGCGGCGCGTGGCTGCGCCCGCCTCCCACAGCAGGGCCGGAGGGGGGGGATGCGGTCGCGCGCCGCCATTTGCTGCCCGCGGGGGCCGGGATGGGGCTGTCGTGAGGCACGGGGCAGCCGGTGGGGCTGCGTGTTGGCTTGAGTTTACTTACAGAACCTTGGAATCATTGAGATTGGAGAAGCCCTCCGAGCGGCCCGAGCCCAACCCCAGCAAACATCCCAGCGCCCACTGCCCGCGCCTCTCAGCGCCACATCCGCACAGCTCTGGAACACCCCCAGGGATGGTGATCCAACCCCTCCAACGCTCTGGTCGTGCTGTGCCGGTGCCTCACCGTGCTCTGGAGAAGACATTTCTCCTAATAGGCAACCCGTTGTCACTGCTCGGCCTTAGGGTGTGCTGGCTTCCATCTCAGCTTTGCGTGTTTCTTCCCTAATCCCAACTGAAAAGCCCAAAGCGGAGCCTGCCTGCACTCTTGGAGCTCCGTATCTCCCAGTTATGGCACAGGATCCGCGTGTGTGTGAGCTCTAAAACCCATCCTATCTCTGCACAGACATGCAGACACGGTGCTTCAGTGTTTGCGCACAGAATCACAGAATTGTAGGGGTTGGAAGGGACCTCCAGAGATCATCGAGTCCAACCCCCTGCCCCAGCAGTTCCTACAGCAGGTCGCACAGGTCGGCATCCAGGCAGGTCTTGAACATCTCCAGAGAAGGAGACTCCACCACCTCCCTGGGCAGCCTGTTCCAGTGCTCCGTCACCTCACTGTAAAGAAGTTCTTGTGCACATTGGTGTGGAACTTCCTATGCTGCAGTTTCTGGCCGTTTCCCCTTGTCCTTCTCCCCCGTGCACAGAAAATAAATGGGTTTCTTCGTTGTGGTTTCAGACCCTCAAACTCACAGCAAATGGTACGCATGGAAGTCGTGTCAGTAAGAGAACCATTCCCCCTTGCCATGTGCACGCATTGGCATTACCTTCTGGGAAAAGAACCAATCCACTGCTGCACTTTGGGAGGATGGTCCTAATAGACAAATCATTCATTAAAAAAATAAAAGAAGCTAGCCCTGGTAAATGTGACATCTTCTGACACAACGGCAGTTCCATGTAATTCACGTCAGTTTAATCAGAGCAAGCTGATAGCATCTTTTTGTCAGTCTTCTCATGCACCCGCAGCACGTGGGTGTGCAATGCCCGGCTGCTGCGGGCTGTTCAGACAGACACACATTGCTCCCCGCCTGCCTGCCTCACACTTGGGCTGTCCTGATCCTCCAGCCTTATCTCCTTGCTAATCTCCCACCCCGGAGCCAGGTGGGGGGGCTGATTGCACATGACGACACAACCGTGCATCCGTGTGGTTGTAGTTTACAAACTACAGATAGATAATCGTTCATTGTTTTCCCCTTTCACAGAGGAATCAAGCTGGTCATTCCGCAGCCCTGCTTTCAGAGCTGCCAGGGAAGCAGTTTGGATTACATCGCAGGGCGTTCACCTTCCCCTGCCATGGCGCATCACTGGTTCTCCATTAGCAGCGCTCTGCACAAAGTGTCAGCCTCACCCATTTTGCTGAGGTTGGAGGGAGAGAGAGCAAATCTGTGACCGCGATTGGCAGCTTCTGCAGCTGTGCCGCGGCTCTCAGAAAGCCCCACCTTCCCTTGCTCTCCTGTCCTGCTCCCTGGGGCTGCACTCCCACTGCTTTGCCTTGCATGACCAGTTTCTCATGGTGGGTTTCCATACCAGATCAGTATTAGTTATGCTCCACATTCAGGACTCGTTTTCTAGCACAGTTGTTGATGCTGCAAATGTCCTTAAATCCAGCTCAGAGCTACAAACCAAACCCAAGCTGAGGAGGTGGCTGTGACGGAAGGATTGCATAAGGGGCTTAGTCTGGGGCTGCTTTTAGTGGCCACAGCTCAGGCGGCAGCTTTACCTCTGCCACTGTCTGAATGAGCACCCAAAGCCTGAGCCCGAGCCCAGGGATGATTCCTTCAGTGAGAATTTAATTCTTGTGTGCTCACACAGCTGCATTTAACACACGGAGCTGGGGTCCTTTGGCACTTGGAGCCTCGGAGAAATCATGTCTTTAATCTCTGCCTGCAACGTGAGCTTTTCGCTTTTTCTCCTTAGTTTCAAGACAGTGTTGACTTCTGATTTCTACTGACTGTTCTGTGATGTCCTAATTGGGGTGAAATCAACGTGCTTCTAGAAATTAATCCAAAATTATGTTAATAACAGCAGGATTTCCAGCCACCTCCAAATGCAACAACAGTGTTGCCCATCTTCCACATGGAGCAGCACCGATTTCCATCTCTCTGCTCTTTCCAGCTATCAACTTCACAAAAATCTTCAGGAATTTAGTATTTCAACACCTCTGTCTCACTGCTAAGCTGACTGGAAGTGACTGTCATGTTCAAAAGTCATCAGTGAGGACAGACAGACTGACCGACCAACAGCAGTTTCAGAAACCTATTTCCTTGGGAAAGCAGGCTCCAACCCTCCAGCCTGCGTTCACCACAGCACCCCATCCTATGAGAATGATGTAATTTTGTATTAAAACTTTTCAAGTCGTTTTCTTTGTGGAAGCAATCAGATACATTTGTAGCTTTCGCGTCTATAAGGAGAACAAGCTTGCAGAGAGCTGCAGAAAAGGCCTTTGAAGCAAAGCAATTTTCCCTCACCCCGTAAGGACTGCGCTGGGTTGGAGTGACAGGTCAGAAGAATCACTAATTACCTCCCTTATTGCTTTATTTTGCAGTTTCCAGGAAGCACTGACGTCCTCCAAGAAAAAAAAAAAAATTACAGTAATATACAGACAACAGGGCTGCTCTTTCTTGGTATTTGTGAATTAAAAATGAAATGAAATTCAAACAAATTATTTCTAACAGAAGAGGGCAGGCAGCTACATACAAATTTTCCTTCGCTTGCTTGTTATGCAGTTCAATTTTCAAGTTTTCAGAAGTCAAACTTCACCTTGCCATCATTTTTCTTTAGAAAAGGTGATGTTTTCACATGATCTCAAACAGCATAAACGTTTTAAAAGCTTTTCTTCCTTTTGCTTTCACGACATTTCAGACTACAGCAAGTGGCCCTGCGTACGGTAAAGTGCTTTAAATCACGGACGCCGTCAGCTTGGAATGGCCTGGACCTTTACATAAACGTGATTTAACACCATCTCAGTGGTCTCAGTCTGTCAGCAGCCTGTTTCTCAGCAGTATATCCAGGGCTGTTTCTTCTCCTGTGTGCTGGCGAACATCAGGAGGAGGCCGTGAAGTCACAGGAGCTGCGCAAGGTGGAAAACGGGCTGCTTACATTGCATCTGTACTGCAAAGTATTCCAGCACTTATCACCCGTGCTCCTGCATGCTCCTGCAGAGCATCAGGCTATGTTCAGTGCTGCTCAAATGAAAATTTACTTTAAAAATATTTTTTTTTCTTTTTTTTCCCAAAAGAAATACATCCTGCCTGCAAAGCTTCCCATAAAGTGCCACCCAGCACGGCTGTGCAATACCTTGAAGACCATGAGGCCCCCCAGCACTGCAGCAATGGGCTGCGACTTGCCATGGGGGCTGTGTAAATAGATACGTGAGTGCACGAGTCCTTTCATCTGATCTGCTGCTGAATTTATCTGAAACTTCCTGCGCTCACATAACACGAGCAAAAAAGTGACTGCGACGACGCTGCTTACAGAGCACTTGTCTCTGCTTGGAAAACAAGAGAGAATTTCTTTTGAGACAAATGGAACGTGTGAATTGTTTCTTCGTCATTAACAACTTCTAAGTGTTGTCCTCAGCCTCCTTCTTTTTTGTTATTTATCAAGCTAACTAGGGTTTCTAAGTGTCTCAGTTTGGGGAGAAGAGATTCCTTCCCATCTCAATGTCCCAGCACGGCCATCTCCAAAGGGATGATTTTCATGCTAAGGGTGGTGAGGCACTGGCACAGGTTGCCCAAGGAGGCTGTGGATCCCCATCCCTGCAGGCATTCAAGGCCAGGCTGGATGTGGCTCTGGGCAGCCTGGGCTGCTGGTTGGCGACCTGCACACAGCAGGGGGTTGGAACTGATGAGCGTTGTGCTCCTTTGCAACCCAGGCCATGCTGTGATTCCATGAGTTAGGTGCTGGCACACTGCGGCCACACCACAAACCATGCTTGTTTGCATGCTTACAAGTATGCTTGCTTATATAATTCACATACATATACACGTAAACCACCAAAAGCCAGATGCAAATGCAACAGCATGCTACATTTACATTCAAATTTAATTAGGTTTTATTAACAATAACCTCTGGGGGCTTTAATTTCTAGAGTCCCCTGGAGCACTGCATTTAACCCCAGAATGCAGCAAGGCTTTGGCTGCTGGTGGGGCAGCATCACAGGCTGCCCTGAGAAGCTGTCATTCTGCACACCATGGAAGTTTTTCCAAAAAGAACTCAGTACATTTTTCGTCACCCTGGGGACACGAAGCCAATATATTTTATACATGAAGTGCACCAAACTGGCAAGCAATCTCAGGCACTCAGTAGAACATCAGAACGGAGCCTGGCACGCTGGCTGTGCCCATTGGTGCTCAGCTACGGTGGGAAAGGCACAGATCTCTCCCTGTGGAAGAATCACTTCTGCTCGGGTGCTCCAAAATGCTGATCTCAAAGGGCATCTGTGAGTTCGTATCTTTGCTTTGCACCACCTTCAGCCTGGCCCCAGCAGTGTGGATAAGCCCTATGGCCAATGTTCCGCTGGGAGCAGTGACATGATGGTGTTGGGATGGGGTCTGTGCCTCTGCTGCCCATCTGCTGGCACCTCGAATGAGAATCGTTTTCTTTCTCACAGGCTTATTTTTAGCCAGGAGGAATCTGAGGCTTGTGCAAATGTTTAAACATGTCTCTCTTGAATTATTCAGTGTACTCTGCCAGCTTCTGGAGTTAATG